GTGCACACCTTTATGATTGTAACGATATGATACAACATCTAGAATCGAGATTTGTAAACTATGATGAGCAAACCAAATAATCTTGGTTATCAATCGCCCAGCTATCAGTCGCACTATCACAAGTTTAGAGCAAGAATTATACCTGCGAATGATGGACTGGCTTATTATCTATCACGATATAAAAATATGGAGCATACGAGGAAATTATAGAAGACACAAATACGTGACAAAACTCAAAAGTGTGAATTTTTTCCCTGTCATTTCTTTAACAGACAAAATTAGGGCTACTGAGTCCAAAAGAGGCTGCGCCGTTTTGAGTAGAATATGCGCAGATATTTTTTCTGCAAAAGACTGGCAGGCGTTCTTATCCAAGATTTTCGGCACCGAGACGAGGGCAAACCCATACAAACTCAAGAGAACATTTAATTACGAACAGAACTAACAAGGAGCAGTTTAAAAGATCGGCCGTGAGAAATGGTGATGTCAACAATCACATTTCTGAACATCGTCCGCTAAAGAACCATAAAATTGATTGACACAGTTTCCGTAATTTCAAAGTAATCTCTATTGTTTACAAGTATTTGTAACGTTAAACAATTTCATTGTTTTCCTCGCACCTTGTTACTTGATCTTGAATGTTTACGCGGCTAAGAAGCCGTTGAGAGACAAGTGGCGTAGAAATTCATTTAAGGAAACTTTTTACCAAAAGGACAGTTTTAGTTACTTCAAATGAAACGTTTCAAGACAATTGAGCGTTTTAAAGATTGAAAACTAACAGAATGAGTACTTTTCTGTGGGTTGATATTAAGACAGATATAACCAAGAGATTCTTTCAGAGCCGTAAGCTACACAATAACAGAGATATTTATACTTTTCAGTTCCTAAAGTTATTTTAGTCTTTCATATTGCGATGCTAAGGGAAAAACCCCAATAAAAATATCAGAGGATGGTGGAAATTAATAGAAAAGCTTTTCAAATATTCCAGTTTTTATGACTAATGATATTCTTTGTTTTTTTGAGTTACCAAAGAGGCGCAAGTTAAAGCAGCCGAAGGAAACCAGGACTTGACTGACAACAGTTCATTAGGTGAGAAAAACAGTTAAATGCTTTTCAGAAGTTGTTCACATGTGCAGAGTTTGCGCCGATGATGGACAGAAATTATTAATATGTTGTTAATTAACTTATCATTCTGAATTTTTTCCTGGTCCAGCAGGTCTAAATACTCGCGGCACTCCTCACTTGTTTGTTATTTCCCCGCCTATAGGATACCACTTCAATGGGTTCCATGTCTGATATGGGTACTTGATCATACGCCAGATATCTTTTTATTTGATGTGTTGTGACAAGCTAGACGTAAATTTATACTCAACTTAACTATTAACACTCCTTCCTCTATGTGCCCCCGCCTAAACGTAAACTTATATTTTACTAACCTGAGCTAAACTTAAACAGACAACAGACCTTGCAGATACATTAAAATAAACTTAACCAGGAACGCATTTAACTCAATTTATATTAGTTACAACTTTTGGTCAAAATTTCAGCGGCAGACAAAAGTGAAGGTTCCTCAAGCGATAAAGGAGTGGATTTTAATGCTTCTTTGTCCGTAGCAGGTAAGAAGGACTGACTTGGGTTAAAATGAAACATATTCATACCAGGAAAATATCTCTAGTGGACTCCATACGATTTAATTGTTACATGACTCAGGAGGGTAAAGAGTAGCCATAATATGATGATGTTGATGACCGTGAAGACAGTGATGACGATCATTCAAACTCCCTTTCTTTTTTAATTTTCAACCTGAGGAAAATTCAAGTTTCATCATTTGGAAAAATGAAAAGATTTAGAGATCAGCAGTTCCCCAAGTACAGAATAAAACTGTAAATAGTATGGAAGTATATTGTAATCATAAATCTGGATTATTATTTAAATTTTGGTTTGAAATGAATTAACAGGCAGCCACATCTAATTCAATGATCTAATGCCTGAGCAGCAATAAAAAACAACAATCATGGACAAACAGGGGTGAAAAGGGTGCAAGTATTTTTCTTGATGTATCATATTTAACGTTTTATACAAAATAGGGAGGTTAATTTCTAAAAATGTATTATTCTTCATTGTTTAATGGAAAAGTCCAAAGCACAACCCAATATGTTTGATTCTTTTCTAATTTTTAGCTACCTCGGAAGGGAAAGATTCAGCAAACCAAGAAAAGGTGAATTTGGAGGATGAGCTTTTATCAGGTGAGAGAGATAAAACAGTAAATTAATTGCACTTCTCAAGTTTGTGAGTGAAAAAAGACCTATGAAAATAATTGAAACACAAACAACTGAATCATTACGGCTATAAGTTCTCTTTGCTCAAAGTAAAATATTCTTTTTTACCATTCCAAGGTCAATTTGGATTCAAGAAGGAGTCAGATGACGACGATGGCAAATCAACAGGTACAAGTGATTAGAGCAAACGTAGAATGTGTGTTAGCTTAAGCGTCAATTAAACACTGGGAAACACGTTGCAAAACAAGTAAGCCTTTCGAAGATTGAAGAGGGACTGATCAGTTTTTGAGGGTCAATATTTAGGGTAGAACTAAAGAAGAAATTATTTTACAGCCTTGATCGGCACGATAACCATCCGTTTTACATTTTTCACTTTCCAAACTGATTTGGGTCTTAGATATTTTTACACCTAGGGGAAAAACCTTGCATATATTAGGAGATGAAGAAAACAAAAGTTGTAAAAAATCACGCGTATTATTACTATTTAAATGTACTGGTATTTTAGTTGGTCAACAGGCCTCCTCAACAGCAGCTATCGGAAGCCTGGACTTTGCTGATAACGGTTTATCAGGTGAGAAAAGGAAACAAGCATCTTTAGGTTTCCTTTTAGAATTAACAATAACAAGACAACTAGTGCTGAAATTTTGTCAACTATCAACTGAGTTGATAGTGAATCAGAGCCATTCGCTCTGACTAAGGGCTAACGCTCTAAACGTCAGCTTTAAAACTCTTTACGGTTGTTAATTTACGTTATCAACTCAGTTAATGACCCTGTTATACTCTCCTACCAATGCATCACAATAGTTTCTCTAGAAACGTACGCCCTTTATTATTTTGTTAACTATGATGAGCAAAGCGAAAATTCTTGGTATCTCGACAGTCTAACAGACCAGTTATCAATCGCATTATCACACGTTTAGTCTATGAGTTGCCTCTTTGACAACACAAAAAAGAGTGAAACCCATTTCGTTGTAATTTCATTGACAGACAAGAGTGAAGCTACTTCTGTTGAGAAAAAAGTGGATATGAAGGATGCTCCTTTAGTAGGTAAGTTAGGAAGCACAGAGAAATCAAAGTCCTTTAAAGACTGAGTTAAGTGGAATTTAATATACAAAGGTTATTGTCAGAAAATCACTTGCGCGCGTATTTCACCACGTATGTGGAGTGACTGGGCAGACTGGATTTTGACCAAGGAGTTTCTGAATATTGCGTTACCGAGACGAAGTCGAGGTTTATAAAACGAAAACAAAAAGAACTTCCTTTATTAATGAACATTAAAGACAACGAAGATTCAAACAACAGACAAGGTGCAGTTTATTAGATCAAGTGCGCCGATTCCCAACATCATAATTACAAGAAGATAGGAAAAGGCGCTAAAACATGACAGACTTAAGACTAAAGAGCAACGATCAATGGTGATGTCAACTACCAAAGTACTGAAAATCAGGGAATGACGAACCACGTGCACAGCGTTGAGTCCACGTGTTGTGTCACTATAAGAGCACGAACTGTACTTCCAACGATTTTCTGACGGCATAAGAGAAGAATGATTTCGCAGACTCATAATAGCAGTTATTATTTAAAATATTTGCTCACGCATTTTTTTTTTCTTGTTTTAGTTTCTAAATTTATTTTGGTCTTTGAAATTGAAATACTGAAAAACCCTCAAATAGACAGGAGGATCAAAAATATTTAAAAAAATGTGCTGAATGTTGTTATTGGAATACTAATAAAACTAATTGTAGTTTGCTTTGACTGAAGAGGCGCAAGTTAAGTTAGGAGCAGAAGAAAACCAGGTCTTTGTAGACAAATCATTAGCAAACAAAAGAAAAAAACTGGTGAAATGTGTTTAGCGCCGACCTTTTTACCACAACTCGCAACAGAATTTTTTTCTCTTTCAATGGACAGATAATTATCTATTTCGATAGTCTAACAGGAAAGTGGTCAACTAAGCCATCATGAAAATTCCAATTGGCCGTAAATGGTTTCCTTTTGTGACATTTATTATTCTATGACTTTTATTATCCTGTCAAAATTTTCAATAACAATTCTGATAATAGTAATGATGATAATGATAGCACAACTGATGAATAGCAACAATGATAACGGTGATGATCATCATTTAAGCAATCTGTTGTTTATACTTTTAGACCAGGAGAAAAGTCAAGTTTTATCCTGTGGAATATCAAAGGATTTAGAGATCGGCAGTTCAAAAGGTACAGGATTATACCGTCTCTTGGTGTGCGTTTATTGTTATAATGGCTGATTTATTGAGCGTCTTGGTTGCTTTAAATAGAAAGTCAACAGCATCTATTTTAATGCTTAACAGCAATAAAAAGCAACAATAGGAAAACCTTGGGCCGGAAAAGGCTACATTCATTTTTCTTGATGTATTGTATTTGTAAACGTATTTGGTGGTTGCTTTCTAAAAATTTATTATCCTTCATTGTTTTCAAACCGTTTCCAAAGCACAACCTAATGTGTTTAATTATTTTCTATTTTTTAAGGTTCTTCCGAAGATAAAGTTAAAGCAATCCAAGAAAAACTGGATTTGGATGATAAACTTTCTTCAGGTGAGAGAAATAAACAGAAAAAAGATAGAGGTAATTTAAGTTTTTAACCACTGAATACAACACGCGCGATAAAATCAAACACACCGTCCAACAAACTGAACTCTGAAAGTGTTCTTCGTTCAAATAAATTTGTGTTCTTCGCTATTTCAAGATCATTTTACATCCAAGAAGGAATCAGATGACGATGGGAGCAAACCAAAAGGTACAAGAGATCAATGTAAAACTAATAAATGTAAGCGTAAGTCAGAAATTAAATCGAAATCTGAATCTTGGTATATGTATATGTATTAGAGGTTGAAAAAACAGAAGTCGTCATAGATCGTGAGTGTTTTAATTATTAATATGTATTGATATTTCAGTTGGAAAAGAGGACAACATGGCAGCTGATGAAAACGTGGCTGCTGCTGACAACGGTTCCCCAGGTGAGGGAAAAAATGAGGCTTTATCAGATTTTTTCTATGATAGTAACGATCAGTGACACAACAACCCGAACCGAGATTTGTAAACTATGATGAGCAAGCCAAATAATCTTGGTTATCAACCGCACTATCACAAGTTTAGAGAAAGAATTGTACCTGCGAATGATGGACTGGCTTTTTATCCGTAATCACGATATAAAAATATGGAGCATACGAGGAAATTATAGAAGACACAAATACGTGACAAAACTTGAAAGTGAGAATTTTTTTCCCTGTCATTTCTTAAACAGACAACACTGAGGCTACCTCTGGTTATGAGGCACTGGATTCCAACAATGCCTCTTCAGTTGGTAAGTCAGGAAACTAGTTGAAATTATTTAAGTCTCGAAGATGCTGAGCCGTGTTAAGTAAAATTTACACAGATCTTTTTTTCTGCACAAGACTGGTAGGCGTTCTTAACTAAGATTTTTGGCACCGAGACGAAGGCAAAACTCGTAAAAACTCAAGAGAACATTTATATACTAACAAAACGAACATGGAGTAGTTTGAAAGATCGGCCGTGAGAAATGATGATGTCAACAATCACATTTCTGAACATCGTCGTCTAAAAAACCACAATATTGATTGGGACTTTGCAAGATGTTTAACCCATAGCATGAATTAAGTTATACGACGGACTTTCGGGAGCTGGATTACCTACTTGAGGCAGATTCTTCCCAACAGAAGAGTAAAAATCAAAAGAGTGAGTGGAACACAAAAAACCACGACGGGTCACGGTCACTCTGACGAAGGGCTAACACTCGAAACGTCGGCTTTGAAATGCTTGAAACGGTGAAATTACCCTGTTATACTCTCCCACCGACGCGGCAGTACAGTTCCTTTAGAAACCTACCCCCTTAATTACAGGTCACAAGTCATTATATTATTATCATCACCCGTTTCATTTTAGTTATCAAAGAGACACAAGTTGAGGCAGCTGAAGGAAACGAGGACTTTCCTTTCAACAACTCATCAGGTGAGAATCGATCGTTGCTCAGCTTTTTTGTATGTGCCATAACACAAGAACTTGCATTGGAAGAGTTTGTCAACAAACAGGGTAAATTATATCATTAAACATACTAAGACCTTTTTCATCCAACCCTAAGGGTTTTCGCTCTAATCCTTATGCATCTTCTTTCTCTCATTCCAATCAATATCGTCACCAAATTTAGCGTTTTTAAACACTTGCACCAAATTAAAGCCCAAAAACGTGAACAACTTATCGGTCCTCACTCATCACTTGAAAGCCTCAAAACTGTTGTTACCAATCCAGAAAATCTTCCACTTTCCGACTTAGGGCTAGAAATCCGTCCACACTAAGGGCTTAAATTTTATTACCATTTTCAAAACCATTGACGAAATTTTAGTTAAGCAAAACGTCGAAAAATTTCTTCGCGCGTTCAATTTCATAAAGCCTTTTTCCATGACAAAGAGGGTGATTCTAACAGATTAGAAATCGGTACGGTTGTCCATTGGGATGCCAAAACAGATATTCCACTTCATCATGGGTCACTAAAATGGAAAATTGGTTCAGTTGTGACACGCGCAAAAGATATCTTACATATCTTCGTTATAATTTCAGAGAACAAAACTTCAGATGATAAAGATATGGATCTAGACGACGACCCCTTAGTAGGTAAGTGAGAAGACTAACGTGTTCCACAAGACGTAAGATAAGACAATCTGTAGTCATCTACTGTCCTTCTTACACTCGGAACAATTCAACCGTAGCTAGTAGAACGCTTTACGATTGAGTGTCGTAAAAGCGAAACTAAAGCAGCAAGTCACGAAAAGGAATTACTGCAAGGAGCCGATGAGAAATTTAAGTGGAAACAAGGAAACTGCGCATACCTGATGCGCAGGAAAACAAGAGCGACCCAGCCGCAATTCAACTTGTTATATTTTTTATGGAGGGTAAGTTTCTAAAGAAACTGTGGTGCTGCGTCGGTGAGGGAATATAACAATATAATATTTGGTTTTATCAACTGAGTTGATAATGTAAAATTTGCTACCGCAAAAAGTTTCAAAGCTGACGTTTCGAGCGTTAGCCCAGTTCGTCAAAGAGAATGACAAAGGCTAACGCTCCAAAAGTCAGCTTTGAACTCTCTATGGTGGCCAATTTACGTTATCAACTCAGTTGATAATACTACATTACCTAGTTCTAGTGTGAAATCTGACTGACTGCGTGAGAAGCGCGAGTTTTTGAGCAATCCTTAAGCGAAAGGAAAATCAAAGCAATCCAAGGTTATTCTCTACATTCAGTTGGAAATTTCTCTGTCGGAACGTTGCTGAAGATGAATCAAGAGTTTGAACTGATTTGGTGTAAATTGTCCATCTCCCGTCTAATAGAACGAAGTTGTTGAAAGGAAAGTGAATCTTTTTCCGAGAGTAACTTTGATCACCATTCTACTGCGCGAGAAAACATAGTCGCACTAGCCTTTCTTAAAAAAAAAAGATCTATTGAAAAAGTGACGCACGTGTCTTGAAATACTCATGTGATGGAACGCTATGAACAGCATCTGCAAGAATGGCAAAAGAGGGCATGGTAACGAATCTTGCAATCTGATTGGTTTTTTACCCGGTCAGTATTTTCCTAGCTCTGCCCACGGGCAACGGTTACGCTTTCGCGAGTCGCCGAGTACATTCCTACTTTCCTTGCCATTTTTTTATAAATATATCTCGTTTTGCCAGCTGGGCAGTATTTGAAGCAAAGACGTCGGTCACTACCTCAAGCCGATAAATAACTTATTAATCCTCTCTTTTCTCTCTCTCAAATCACTTCGGTTGACAGAAAAATATCGGTTTAAGAATGAATTGTATAAGCAATAATGTCATTACGTTGGTTGACAAGCGGCCTAAAAACCGCCTGCAATTAATTTTAATCGTTCGGGTATTGTAAGTAATTAGTCATAACGAGTAATATTCCGGTGTTTCCTGTATTTTTAGTGAGAGCAAGGGATTGTTTTCAGCAAGGTAACAAAGAATACAGACAAGGAGATTTTCATAGAGCGCTACAACTGTACACTGAAGGACTTCAACTAAACTGCAAAGATAATCGGCTGACAGCCAGACTCTACAATAACAGGGCAGCAGCTCATTTCCGTTTAGGTATGGAATTTCAACGTTCAATTATTTATAGTTTACTTAAAAGTTCTTCTTCAAAGAGTCATGCTAATTATGCTAATTTTTCTGGTCGTTTATCTATCACTCCAAATGAGTTAAAGGACATCCAGTAATATAACGGCTACTTAAGATAAAGACTCCAAATCTTGTGACCTATAATGAACCGAAATCCCCGAGAAGAGCTTTATATCACTCACGACCATCTTTAATTTAACTTCGAGCGTTCAAGTTCAAGTTTTAGGTCCTAATGGTAAAAAAGGGGAAAATAAATAAACCAATCCCGTTATCACCTGCACTTCCCATATGTATTCTCCCCACCAAACCCTCCCTCCTCCCCCAACCGCGTTATCGAAGGTTATACGAGGGGGCCCAAGTCTTTCCAAGGTGAAAGAAAACCTCCAATTAGTTGTAAAGAGTCCTGTTGAAAGGGAGTGGGTTACTCTTTTTGCAATTCTATCGAACGCAAATGACCGGTTAGCTCTAAATCCCTCCTTTAGAAAACTTTGAAAACAGCCTAGATGATGCCACAGTTGCTGTACAATTGGAGCCAACTTTCATCAAAGCCTTGGAGAAAGGTGAGTTTAATTTTAGTCGCCATTCAGTGGCGATAGCTCCCTGGCTACGTACGTTGAAGTAGATGTTTCTGGATCAAATCTACGCGGTCACGCACCATAAATCTTCATTTGTGAATTGAAAATGCCAATATTTTGGCTTCTCAAAGAAGGCACTTAGCTATTTATCACTAATCCTTTTTTTTATAGGAGCTGAAGCTTGTGTGCAGCTTAAGTTGTATGATGAAGCAAAGATCTGGTGTCATAAAGGATTGGCCGTATCCTTTGAAAAATACATTCGTTTCTAAGACGTAAAAAAACTCCAGTGATTACCACTTTAAGCTTAACTCAAGAAAATCTAGTGCAAATTTAAGACGTCCAATGATTTTCAAATTTTTCAATTTTGATTTAAAAGCTGAATTTTCGGTGGTCTCTAGCTGTCAGTTTCAGTCACTTTTCTCGGTGAAATATGAGTATGATTTATGTTAATGCCATTAAAACCAGTTCTTACACCATTTCCTGCTAACAACGCAAACGATATAACCCGAAATAACTAACGACAAATAGTAAAAGACTTTCCCAAGATGATATATTACTGTAGAATGGATATGATCGTACGATGCAGCTATTTATGATGCCAAACACTGACAGCTGTTAATGTCTTTTCCAAAAGGCAACGCGACGAAAGGCACTGCTTGTTGTCGTTGAGAATCTGACATGCGAAAGAAAATTCTATCTTATCAGCAGCCTCGCTAAGATTCATGTTTGTTTGTCCAGTTTTTCACACGTTAATGATCCGAACTTGTTATTCAAACAAATTGACAGGCTGCGAGCGGACGTTTCAAATTCCCCAGTATTTTACAAATGTACACGAGGAAGAGGCAGTCAGCGTTTCGAGCTCATTATTATCATTATTATCTGTCCTTCCCCTTCTCTCTCTCTCTCCTAACGGAATCAAGCCTCTCCCTCTGGTGACCAGTAATTGTAATGCGTTGTATTAAATTGCATCTTGCTTACTTTCATTGTTTTGAAATCTTTTAGTTCCTCGAGAACATAGCTATTTCGGGGGCGTTTCCAATATCATCTTATCTGCCCTCTTAACTCGGCACCAGGTCTCGGAAAGGGACAGCGAGCAAGTTAACTATCCAGTCACTGTATCCTCCCCCATTTTGAGATAAAAACGATGCTGCTGAATAAATAATGATATCAATTACAAATGAAATGTATAAATCCAACTGTTTCAAAAGGTCATCACACTCAGTGAAAAACCAAGTGAGCTTGAAGGAAAAATGTGTTTACGCAGAGTCACGACTTGAACGCTTTGTTCGATCTCTCTCTCTCTGGTCCATTAAAGGCAATCTTTTTCTCCTTTTGCCAATTTCGACACTGTAGATCTCCTCTTCGTGGCTATACACCTCGTTAAGTTCTTGATCTTCTGTCGTTCCTGGTCTCTTATCCCGTCTACATCAAAAGGTTCCCTTTGGATCGTGCACACGCGTTACACTGGGTCGTTGTAGTAATTAGGATCTTTTAATCTCCTTGTCATCATGATTCTTGCGTTTTCACAGTTTTATCGCAATATCTTATGATTTGTTCAGGAATGTTATCGAAAACCAAAGCCTCCTCAGCTGTTTTCCTTCCTTTCTTAAACGGCTTGGTCCAACCTTCATCAACATTTATTTCCTTTTTGTCTGGCTATTACGGTTGTATCTAATCGTCTTTCTTAGTCTGTGTGACGATAAAAGCCATAATCCACTCGATTTCCTTCAGAGCTCGTTATTGGTGGTCCCTTAATTGCTCTTAAATTGAAAAGACTTTGAAACTTCTTGTCAGTCATGATTGCCCTTTTCCTTGTGTCCCACCGAAACATAACATAATCCTTAATTATTCAACCTTGTAGATTACATTTTTTTTACTCAGTAGTCTTTGGAACGCTGCTCTTTTACGAACGTTGTTTTTTTTTCTTGAAGTGAATGGATACGGTTTCACTTCGTTAAAATTAATGTAAAAGAGCATGGAGTAACAAGTAAGGGACCAATATTTTAGGCAAGGCGAACAATTAGAAATGAAAAAAGGGGGTAAGTTTCCAAAGAAACTGTGGTGCTGTGTCGGTGGGAGAGTATAGCAGGTAATTTAGTGTTAACAACTGAGTTGGAAACGTAAATTGGCCACCGTAAAGAGTAAAAAGGCTGAAAAATTAAAAAATCTGACAAGTGTGCGACTTAATCGAATTACTGTGTGAACTGCAAAGCAAAGTTATCAAGATTGACAATTCTGTAAGAAAGGTGCTTTCGTCGAGTTCTCAAAAGCCGAAAAGGCACTCTGCAGGTAGAAGTCTTGCAGTGTCTAAGAGACTTTCTCCTAAAAACTGGATGAAACACCCTCCCTAAGCATTCCACCTTTCCTCTCAGCAGTGTCATTTGACTTAACGCATTGAAGATGGACGATAATAGTAAAAAGTTGCGTCATCTATTAAACAAGTGTGGTAGTGAGACAATCGCATCCGGCGAGATAAAGCCACAGCAAGTAAAGGTAAATCTGACAACCATTACCTGAATTTTTTTTTTAAATAGAACTGAATAGGCAACCAGAAACTATAAAGAGGTTAAAACGTGCATCTCGAGTTCACAGGTCTTGGTCGAGGGGCCAGTAACGAAAATCACGAAATTCTATTGCTTAATCGTTACGACCGCAGGGGCCAATATTTTTCCAGTACTCACTCAAATAAAATCATCAAAACGGGGTTAGCAAAATCCGGAAGTCTTCTAAAATATACGTACGTTCTAAAGATTATAAATCGAAAAATTCTTATGGCTAGAACAAAAGCCTAGCTCTCTGTCTCTGTATTTTCTTTGGAGTCTAGTCACTTTCACAAACTTAAGAACCTCGTTGAAAATCCACATCCAGGAAGGAATTCAGAGGAATTCTGTGCGAGTGGTTCTCATGGCCCAATTACAGAGGTCTAATAGGGAAAATACATATCTCTGGCCTTTTTTAAAGACCTCGTTCGAACCTAAAACTTAGGGTCTAAATAAGTGCGTAATAAAACTTAGCGACATATTTCCAAACCATAAGGGAAACTCAAACCAGGAAAGGAGATGAACTTTATTCGTTTGTTTGATCGCGACATTTGTACTGCAATACTGCTAGTCTTCATTGGGCAGTGAGGTCGCTTGTTTACGTGTCGCAATTTGTAGCGCGTTGCTTCGTTGCTATTGGTGCATTTCGATCCTCATTATTATTCCGGTTGTTAAATGGTGTTCCCCCATAGGTCCTCATTAATCGGCTGTTGTGGTGTCTGATCGTCGAATAGACAATTAACAATACCACGCTTCACTGACTGAGGTTGGTGGGTGAATCCCCCCCTGGTGCACACGTAGGGTTAAAGAGGCTATCCATATAAGACTTCATCTCAACAACATCAGTGGAGATAGTGGAATCGAAATTCACGAAGCTTGGATACTCACGATCAAACAACACAATAGCCGATCAAAGAGGACCTATGAGGGAACACCATCTAACAACCGGAATACTAATGAGGATCGAAATGCACCAATAGCAGCCGACTAACGTGCTACAAATGGCTTAAGGAGTAAGTTGGCCACCGTACAGAGTTAAAAGGCATACGTTCAGAGCGTCAGAGCAATGAAGACTAGCAGCATTGCAGTGGAATCGTCCCGATCAACATCCAAAGTGACACTACCGTGAAACAAAGGAATTAATTTCATCTTTTATCTTACACCACGATGAAAAAAAAACTTATTTTATTACATCAAACCAGGAAGTAGAAATTGCCAAAGATCTGGGAGACAAGACTGGAGAAGGAAGGAGTTATGGCAACCTTGGCAATGCTTATCTTGGTCTAGGACAGTTCAAAACAGCCATCGACTACCATAAACAACATCTAGAAATTGCCAAAGAAGTGGGAGACAAGGCTGGAGAAGGAACGAGTTATGGCAACCTTGGCAGTGCTTATGGTAGTTTAGGACAGTTCAAAACAGCCATCGACTACCATAAACAACATCTAGAAATTGCCAAAGAAGTGGGAGACAAGGCTGGAGAAGGAAGGAGTTATGGCAACCTTGGCAATGCTTATCTTGGTCTAGGACAGTTCAAAACAGCCATCGACTACCATAAACAACATCTAGAAATTGCCAAAGAAGTGGGAGACAAGGCTGGAGAAGGAAGGAGTTATGGCAACCTTGGCAGTGATTATCATGGTCTAGGACAGTTCAAAACAGCCATCGACTACCATAAACAAGATCTAGAAATTGCCAAAGAAGTGGGAGACAAGGCTGGAGAAGGAAGGAGTTATGGCAACCTTGGCAGTGCTTATGGTAGTTTAGGACAGTTCAAAACAGCCATCGACTACCATAAACAACATCTAGAAATTGCCAAAGAAGTGGGAGACAAGGCTGGAGAAGGAACGAGTTATGGCAACCTTGGCAGTGCTTATGGTAGTTTAGGACAGTTCAAAACAGCCATCGACTACCATAAACAACATCTAGAAATTGCCAAAGAAGTGGGAGACAAGGCTGGAGAAGGAATGAGTTATGGCAACCTTGGCAGTTCTTATCATTGTCTAGGACAGTTCAAAACAGCCATCGACTACCATAAACAACATCTAGAAATTGCCAAAGAAGTGGGAGACAAGGCTGGAGAAGGAACGAGTTATGGCAACCTTGGCAATGCTTATGGTAGTCTAGGACAGTTCAAAACAGCCATCGAGTACCATAAACGTCATCTAGAAATTGCCAAAGAAGTGGGAGACAAGGCTGGAGAAGGAACGAGTTATGGCAACCTTGGCAATGCTTATGATAGTCTAGGACAGTTCAAAACAGCCATCGAGTACCATAAACGTCATCTAGAAATTGCCAAAGAAGTGGGAGACAAGGCTGGAGAAGGAAGGAGTTATGGCAACCTTGGCAATGCTTATCTTGGTCTAGGGCAGTTCAAAACAGCCATGGAGTACTATAAACGTGCTTTAGAAATTACCAAAGAAGTGGGAGACAAGGCTGGAGAAGGAAAGAGTTATGGCAACCTTGGCAATGCTTATCATAGTCTAGGACAGTTCAAAACAGCCATCGACTACCATAAACAACATCTAGAAATTGCCAAAGAAGTGGGAGACAAGGCTGGAGAAGGAAGGAGTTATGGCAATCTTGGCAGTGCTTATCGTCGTCTGGGACAGTTCAAAACAGCCATCGACTACCATATACAACATCTAGAAATTGCCAAAGAAGTGGGAGACAAGGCTGGAGAAGGAAGGAGTTATGGCAACCTTGGCAGTGCTTATCATTGTCTAGGACAGTTCAAAACAGCCATCGACTACCATAAACAAGATCTAGAAATTGCCAAAGAAGTGGGAGACAAGGCTGGAGAAGGAAGGAGTTATGGCAACCTTGGCATTGCTTATGGTAGTTTAGGACAGTTCAAAACAGCCATCTACTACCATAAACAAGATCTAGAAATTGCCAAAGAAGTGGGAGACAAGGCTGGAGAAGGAACGAGTTATGGCAACCTTGGCAGTGCTTATCGTTGTCTAGGACAGTTCAAAACAGCCATCGACTACCATAAACAACATCTAGAAATTGCCAAAGAAGTGGGAGACAAGGCTGGAGAAGGAACGAGTTATGGCAACCTTGGCAGTGCTTATCATTGTCTAGGACAGTTCAAAACAGCCATCGACTACCATAAACAACATCTAGAAATTGCCAAAGAAGTGGGAGACAAGGCTGGAGAAGGAACGAGTTATGGCAACCTTGGCAGTGCTTATCATGGTCTAGGACAGTTCAAAACAGCCATCGACTACCATAAACAAGATCTAGAAATTGCCAAAGAAGTGGGAGACAAGGCTGGAGAAGGAACGAGTTATGGCAACCTTGGCAGTGCTTATGGTAGATTAGGACAGTTCAAAACAGCCATCGACTACCATAAACAACATCTAGAAATTGCCAAAGAAGTGGGAGACAAGGCTGGAGAAGGAATGAGTTATGGCAACCTTGGCAGTGCTTATGGTAGATTAGGACAGTTCAAAACAGCCATCGACTACCATAAACAAGATCTAGAAATTGCCAAAGAAGTGGGAGACAAGGATGGGATTGCCCAGGCTCTTTGTAGTCTTGCTACAAATTTTGAAAGGCTTGAATGTCTCCAAACCGCCCTCGACTATTATATTTCTAGTAGAGAGATTTTCAATAACGTTCGGGCTAGTTTTCTGTTGCACCATAACTGGAAGATTTCGTATCGAAATGTTCACAAAACAGCATACAATGGTGTTTGGCGCGTACTTTTACTCAAGGGTGAACACGTTAAAGCTCTTCTCGCTGCCGAGGAGGGACGTGCACAAGCTCTAAGAGATATCGTGGATTTAAAGTATAGCTTTCGACAAACCCTCACGTGGTCGAACTCTAGGAAATGCTCTGATTGTCTTTCATTAAGAAACGTTTCATCGGATGTAGTTTTCCTAGCAATTACTGGACCTTACATTGCTTTGTGGACTATTCGGAACGGGGAAGTCGTTCAATCGAGAATAAAGCATGTGAACAACTTTCTTTACCAACGTGAATTAGAAGTTTACATTACCTCTTTGAATAAGGCTGCTTCCTTGCAAGTTAGTGCAAGGGCTGCTGTTGAATGGGAAAAAAGTTCAACTCAAGTGGGCCGAGATGAAAAAGGAACGAGCGATGGTTCTCCGCGAAACGCGACGACAAATGCCCTGCGGAAGCTTTATGATATCATAGTTGCTCCTATCGCAGATCTGATTGATGGAGATGAGCTTGTATTTGTTCCTGAAGGTCCACTTTGCTTGGTGCCCTATGCAGCATTGGTGGATTCGAATTCAAGGTATCTGTGCGAATCTTTCAGGATTTGAGTAATTCCATCCCTAACCATTTTAAAATCAATCTCAGACTGTCCGACAGAATTGCACAATAAAACCGGTGCACTGCTCGTGGGTGATCCATGTTACAAGCAAGTCCTTTATCAGGGTGATTTGTTGAATCAGCTGCCGGGTGCAAGGAAAGAGGTGAAGATGATTGGAGGAATCCTCGGTATTGCTCCTCTCGTTGGAGGGGAGGCGACAAAGGAAGAGGTATTTAGACGAATTTCCTCAGTTGCGTTGGTTCACATTGCAGCGCATGGTAAAAAAGAAACAGGAGAGATTCTCTTGGCACCAAACACAAGTAGGACAACCTGTCAAGCTGAAGAGGAAGACTATCTACTGACAATGAGAGACGTGTTACGAGCCGGGCTGCGAGCGAAACTGGTTGTGCTAAGTTGCTGTCACAGCGCTTGCGGTGAGGTTATGGCCGAAGGTGTGGTTGGCATTGCGCGAGCGTTCTTAGGTGCCGGTGCTCGATCGGTTCTGGTATCCCTGTGGGCCATTGATGACGATGGTACTCAGGAGTTCATGAAACATTTCTACGGAGCGCTGGAAGAAGGCAAGGGTACTAGTGAAGCTGTCAATCAAGCCATGAAGTGCATGAGAGAGTCTGAAACGTTCAGCAAAGGGTATTACTGGGCGCCATTTGTACTCATTGGGGACGACCTGAAACTGGAATTAACGGAAATTAAAAGGTATCCATCGTAAGTATGCCTTTAATTTTGCTCAATCAACGAAAGGTGAGATGTTAATTATCACCTTTTTGTTCCTTGAGGTCAAACTCAATTTCATGTCTTTTATCTTCATTGCGTTCCTGCAGCAGAGGTAGAGGGTACATAAGGATAACACAAAACAGAAAAAATACGTTTCTCGTTGACTTATTGCACTGCCTGTTGTTAATGCCAAGACTCGCAGTTTTTCTTTTGTAATAAAGCATGGCACTTAAATTTATTTTTCGAGGAATTCAAGAAAAATGTTCAATTTTGCGGCTCTTATACTTTTCTTGTAGGTCATCACTGATGGATTTGTTTGAAGACAAGAGCAGACCCCAGGCGTTTGGTACTGACTAATGACAATCAAAACCAACAGAGGCATGCGGGGTGACAAATTTAATGTTACGCGGCGTTGAATTGAACTGGTTGAATCATTAAATAACCCGCATTGAGGCTATAATCAAATAAGCGATTTGTTACCATATCATTTAATAATAAACTGCCAAGTCAAATGATTTAGTTTTAAAAGGAGATTTTTTGCGGAGATTGAGTGGTGTTGCGGCCATGTTTAAGACAAGTTATGCCGAGAAAACCTTTTAATTAATCTCACATGGTCTTCGTAAGGAATATACAGCGATGTTTTCTAAATCATAAGTTAAATACGAAACTTTATGGCCATGTGAGTTGTGTATTTCAATTTCATGGCTCCAAGCATCACCTAAGACCAAGTTTAACCTTTGGTGTTTGGCATATCTTACTTTTGAATTTTTAACTTGTTGTACGTTGTACATATGATTGCTTTGTTTACATGCATTTGGACATGCATTTGATACATTTTGACTCACTGGATTGATAACTTAATTTTTTAATCTTGAAGCCTTTGCCAGCTTGGAAGAAATGTACTATCCAAAAAGACTAGAGCAGGCATAAATCATGAACTGTGGAAAAACCGGAGTCCATTGACATTTACTTGGTACATAATCCAATTAAAATCCATTTCAGATCTTCGTTTCAGTTCTTCTTACTGTTTTTGCTTATTTCACGCAGTTTTCGCTCGGAAAATTGAGTGAAAAAGCAGGCGATGTTTTTAGATTATCACTCTTCTGCTTGATATTGCAAATTTAGTGTAAAAAGAACTTCTGAAAGAATGAAAACTAGAACACTATGAAATTCTTATTGTTACACCCCTTCGCTCTTTCTAAATCTTTCCTTTCGCCCAATTAATTAAACAGGCTGTTAAATAACAAGGATAAGACCCACACCACACGTCTATTTCACTTGGAGGAGGGGAGCTGGTTCGAATGAAAGAACGGTCAGCTTAAAAGGTCATTAAGTCTAAAACGAAATCTCCGTGTTTTTCCTACCACCCGTTAAATAGGATACATTCCGCTAGCGACCATGACTGTGCTTTTAAATTGCAGCCAAGTATTTTTGCTCACCACTGGTTCACATGTTTCACACCAAATAAGCGGGGCTAGATTTCCGACACTTATCGAAATTTCAGGGTAGGGGCGCGGGCTCATTTCCTGAACAGCGAATGCTTTTCGATTCCAAACTGAAAATTGTTTACTGACAATTTGTTCTATTGACTTGCTCACCTAGACTTAGGGAAACATTTCAACTCTTTAACCCCTCGAAGCTACTATCATGTAAAGTCTCCCTTCAGTATCAAGCCGAGCCAAGTATTTAGGTCATGAGAATTAAGGGAATGATCGCCAAAATCCGTGTTGCAGTGTAGGAAATGTATAGCAAAAGAGCGGGTTAAAGAATTAGTTTCAGAGTGAACTCGTGGAGTAACTGACCAGAGTATGTGAGGTGATTTTTAAATAGCAAGAAGTCTAATAATTCACTATAGCCATACTCATCGGAGGAACAAAACAAGGGAATCACCTCACCATTACTCCACCTCAATCCTACGCGCACAGAAAGTTGCAGGCCTTTAACGTCACTACAAAAAAACTAAAGAGACTACTACATAGATCTGTCTTTAAGTTAGATTTGTTTCTCAATTCTCGCCAAAGGTTTTCTTACAAATCGTTGGTAACTTTTCTGGATGCAGAGTAAAACAATGCCACCTAAATTAAGACAACTCTCAGTTTTTTTTTCCAATTCCAAAGTTTGTTCAGTTTATTTCTTCTCTTCCTCATCTTCTCCTTCAGTTTGTTTTGCAAAGTAGTTCTTCTTTTCTGTTGGATCAGGTATGATCGTCTCTTTACCAGGCTTCCAACCGGCCGGACAAACTTCCCCGTGTTTGTCAGTATATTGGAAAGCCTGGACTAAACGTAAAGTCTCGTCGACTGATCGGCCCACCTGCGAAATAACCAGTTTAGATTAACTTCTTTGAGTAGCTAAGTTATAAATAGTACTTCACACTTTATAAAGCCAAAGACCGCAAACCGCAAAAAAATCAGGAGACTGGACACCAGGAGCCTTTTTTCTTGATACTATCTACTAAGCTTTTTTTCTCCCTTGTCCAAATCAAAATCGAAATATCACTATTTTTCTAATGAAATAATAAAAACGTCACAAAATAAAAGGAAAGGGATCCCCACTGCTTAACACTTAAACAATGAGCTTGAGATTTTTACCACGTGACAGTGGACGAGGGCCACTGACTCGAATCAAATTATATGAATGGACAGATAAATTTTCTCAGCGTATCAAGAACAATTAACTGTAGAAGCAAACAGCTACATAAAACTCGCAATAGAAATTCACGGTACAATTACAGTCATACAAGTAAAGTTACAACATACTGGTAGATCATTCATTGTGATCTGTCGTAGAGTCCCTTTGTCATCGATTATAAATAGACCCCTGAAATAGAACAATAGGCATGTAATAAAAGTGGTCATAAAAGTAAGAATATTCTCACCTTAACCAAATCTCCCCTGCCTAACTATCAGACCTGTTATATAGCATGAAGGAAGCAAAGTATAGCAACCTGATCAGACCTGGTCTGAGAGTGTATTTAATCCATGGATGTTATGTCCATTACGGGAACATCTCCCCCCCCCCTCCCCCCAGCTCCCACTCAAAAGTAGTAATATTAAGGGGAAAAAACCATCCGACCAAGAGAGACTCTTCAGTGTATGAGTTACGTTTTTCTTAACTATGTGGTGTGACAGCCAACAATGCAACAAGATAATGCCAGTCAGGTGCTCAAAACTGGATATCTTGATCCAGGGTAGGAGCACTAACAAAGAAATGTTCAGCTTTTAGAAATCAAGAATAGGTAGATTGCAGATAATGAAATACTTTGTTCAAGTAGATATGGTCTATTAAATGATCATCATTATCATTATCATCATTACATCAAATAAGTTTTTTTGGTACATACCACACAGATGAACAGTGCTTTTTGTGTGCTCTGATTGGCTGGCTTGAAAGTGATTAACAGGTACTCTTCCCCTTTGAGCAGCCGAGGCGACAGAATCATGCATCAAAAATTTAATTTCCAACCATTTCTTTGTATATTGACAGAAATGTACTGATTTTTTTAATTTCTGTGTGGTATATACAGTGTACATGCTAATATAATTATTTACCTCAGTGTAGGTGAAAGTGGTAGATATTTACCTAGCTGCTTTGCAGCTCGGTTAATATCCCCAGCTATTTCACCTCCACTTTGTTTAATAATGTTTATTATTCCAAGAGGATCACAGCTGATAAACACTAAACACATGTTTAAATAGAATGGCCTACAGACACAAAAAGTCAGAAACATGAGGAAATAGAAAACACAGATATCCTCACCTTAAGGTGTGACCTTCATTCTCAAGCAGTACTCCATAATCTTTAGCAATTTGGTGGTTTAAGTCAGATAACAGAGGATATTTAAGCCTTCCCAGACCACCCTCTTTCCTTGGAGTGTTTATCCTAGAATTGAAAGGAATATAGGAACTTATTTATTGCCTCTGGTACCTCTGGGAATTCTTAACAATTCAACAGGTTCAAGGATTGCTCTACTAGCTGTTTTGAGAATTCCTTAAATTACCAATCATGCTTAAAATAAGGGTGAACACTGCTGTAGCAATATATATCTTTGTCATTACCCATGAAATCATTCAAAAGTTCTCTCCTGTGTGACTATAATGTATATACACAAACATATAGAATGAATGTAACTTGAAACTGGAATGCATTTTATGGGAGATTTTTCTCAAAAATAGAAATTTTTCCTTGTTACTTTAATTTCTGCTATTCTAGAAATGTTCCAATAAAATGGCAATACCTTTCTTTGTTTTTTTCAATCTCTCAAATCCTTGAAAGTTACAAATTCAGTTAAAATTTAGGATTGACCCTTAAACCCCTGAGAGTGACCAACATCTAATTTCTCCTAACAACATCACCCCTAAATCAAACATTAAGGTCATGAGAATAAAGGAGATGATCACCAACTAAAGAAACTCTTGATTGTTGAACAAATTCTCCTTGTCAGAACTCTAGGAAATTTGTAGAGAGTAGTATGGAGAATATGCATACTGATGTTAGGGTGTAAAGGATTAACATACCAAGCTAAATGGGTAAAAACTGAATCTACTGAACAACCAACAACTTCAGTGTTGATTGCCCTGAACTCTTCAATTCTGTCACTAAAGGCAATGATCTCCGTTGGACAAACAAAAGTGCTGCAAATGACAACAAATAGGTGTTATTTGTAATGATTCAATTTAAAATAATATGCATGCAATTAATGAAACTTTTAATATCAGTCACCTTGAGAACAATGTTGACTACTCGGTAGCAATTGCAGAGAGATGACTAATTTGGCAGGATAGCATGAAGGTAGCAAAGTACAGCAAACTTTTAGTCAAAGAGTATTCCGACATCTAATACCCACAAGTCAAGGGGATAGAAAAAGAACACCAGATATTTTCCTGTGTAGGAAAAAGTAATAAATATAACACAAATTAGAATAAACTGGAAAGAAAAGACAAATCATCAACAGATGACCAAAAACATCAAGTGAACATGCCAGAATTTGAGCAAGGGGAAGGTTTATCAAAAATCCGTAGAAAAAACTGGAAGAAGACAAATCATTAACAGATAATGAGGAAACATCACAGAAACATGCCAAAAATTGAGCAAGGGGAAGGTTTTTGAAAGAGATAATAATATTTTTAACCAATGTTTCATTAGATGTATTTGGTCACAACAGGTCACTTGACTGAATCTGCCTCCTGCATCTCCAAACAGGCAATGCCCATGCACTGAAAAATATGTGTTCATTCAAGCTCAGGCAGAGGTCTCTGTTTATATAATAGCACATACAAAAAGGAAAATATTTATAAGCATTACAGTTTCAAACTGCTCCTGGCAGAATTACCAGTAGCCACATACAAGATCTTTACAAACCTGTGATTGGCCTTCACATATGGCTCTCAGTTTTCCAAGTTACAGCTGTATCTATGAGCTCACAGAAAAAAAACTTACCTCTAGAATCAGTCATCTTCAAATATTTGAACTCTCCATTAACAACTGCAGTCCCTTCCCAATGATCGCGGTTCTGGTTTAGAAACTGTGCAGAAAAAGACTCGAAGGTCACCATTTTACATCTAAAGGACAATATTTATATCAAAATCAGAAACAAAAAGGGAACACAAAAAAGATTTCTCCTATCAAGAACTCAGATATTCTGGGACTGAATTGCCCTTTCCAAACACCGAAGACTTTTTTGCTACACTTCACCACCCCTTTCTCAATAACTCCAAAGAGCTGAGTTTAAGCAAAGGGTGTTCCCAATCCCATTTCAAACACTGATTTTAGAAAAATTCATGTTTCACCAATACTTTAAACAGCATTTCATGCATCAAAAATTTAAAAGGGAAATTTCATATCACTCTTTTAAGTGCAAGGTTCCAGGCAGGGAAATCTTTAGGTTTTCACAAAATGATAGAAAAAATAAGATGGTTTCATAATAGGAGGCAAATCAGGCTTCAAAATTCTTCATAAATTCACAAATTGAGCTAGCCTTTCTTTAAAATTCACATGTCACAAATTAATTTTGACATTAATCACGAGTTTACTGTACATATAAACCTTTTGCCATCCTCTCCAAACATTTGATTTTTTATGAGCCACTCCAACTGTTCAATGTACATTATTCCATGTCAATTACCTCAGAGAATCTGGAGTTACCACATTTACAATGTATTTGGCTGTAACCAATATCCTTGCTATAAGCCAATTGACCCCAAACTTCCAATGTGTAAAATTAACTCAACCCTTTAAATTCCAAGATATGGCTGTTAATTCTCTCTTCTAGCTGCTACTTATTTCCTTATAAATAAACCAAAATTCTAATTGAGAAGCATTCTCATCACCTGTTTGCTAGATAATGTATGAACATTATAAGGAGAAATTACACATTCATCACTTTTGGGAATTAAAGGGTGAACTACATGAATAAGTCAAGACCTATTCTTGGACTTTATGTACATGTATAACAAAGACCCAACAATTTTGCGTAAATTTACACTAAAATCTGCTTTTCTCTCAAATGAAATTTGTAAAAAAGCTATACAATGAAAAGATGAAAGTTAACAAAGGTTCCCCTGCATAAAACACATGCATAAAAAAACTGAAGCTTTACTTTGAGTGAAAATAACTTGGCTTATAGCTGAATAATTACAGTATATCAAAATGATACCCTCAAGGTCACAAGTTTTTCAATTGTTATCACCTAGCTGTTGTTGATATTGTCAATACAGAGTTACTGTTATTAAGTGAATGGAGAAACATGATTTTGAAATAAATGTCACCTTACAGCTTATGGCAACCTTGAGTAAATGCTGCAATGCAAATGCTGAAAATCTAATAAACATCTTGACTTTTGATCAAAGGAGCAATGAAAGTGGATCATTTGTAAATTTTCCACAAAATTAACATTAAAAAAATTATGAGTGCTTGAAGATTTTAAATTCCATAAAAATCAATTGATGATTTGTTAAGACCAAAATTGAGACTGCAGACTGGGTACAAAGTACATGCCGCATCAAAATATTTCTCCCTTGCTAAACACAGCATACCAGCATGTATTAGTCTAAGATGCTGAGTGAAAAACACTTAATAATATTCCCTGGAAGAGCATTACTCTTAAAATGTCATAACTAAAACTTATCTCCCTAATATATTTCAATCAGTCTTTATTCACATTGTGTATACTGCAATCTTTCCCTTCAACCCTTTAACTCCAAATAATAATTCTCCTTACTGTCTGCCATACCATTCTTATGACGCTAGTTCAAAGAATTTGTTATTGGATCAAATAATCCCCTAAATGATACCTTTCTTTATTCTCATCACTTTTTTGTTTAATTGATATTGTCTTGTCACCCATGGGAGTTAAAGAGCTAAGTAAAACACTGAAAATACCAAGCTCAGAAGGCATTAAACAATTATTTTTAGAAGAATGTAGGTGTCATGCTTTAAAATTCCAGACATTGGCAGTAAGAATATTTTAGCAATGGACATTATTACATAATGAGCATAATTAGAATTTATATGGCGCACAGATATGAATGATCCAATACCCTTCGCAGAAAATAAAAAAATTCTCAATGATAATGGCAGCTAACTAAAACCACTATAAAGTTACATAGAGATAAGAAAACCTAATTCCCTTAAGAAGATAAAAACACTTCATTACTGGAGGCAACAAACTAAAAGCTTGGCTCAAAAGGTAAGTTTTGAGACTATGCTTAAAAATAGGTACAGGTCAGTGATGTCACTAAGTAAACTTCCAGTCTCAATCACTCTGACGAAGGGCTAAGGCTTGAAACATCAACTGTTAAACTCTTTACAGTGGAAAATTTACCCTATCAATTCAGTTGATAATACTAAATTTCCCTGGTATAATGTCTCTCACTAACATAGCACCACAGTTTCTATAGAAACTTACATGTACCCCCTTTATTCCAAAGGTTCCATCACCATGGAAAATGACCTCAGCAAGTTGATAAAGAGGTCATAAGAAGTTAATTATCAAGTGCGTGCACAGTGCAAAGCCTCAGGTGGATACTGGTGTAAACACAAGCTCAAAGGGGCTGTGTTAATTCTCCTAACCTTGGTTTCTTAAAATCCATCCCACAAGGACAGCTGATTCTTTTGTAAAAAGTTAGCTCTTGGTTTGCTAAGGGAATAACTCTACAACAACAAAGCTCTAGAGCACTGACTAAGGGAAACCTTTGCCACACTTGGTGCAAGGAATGAAATGTTATGGGAACAGAAATGAACACACTACATATTCTTAACATAGATTTTTCCATAGAAATCAAAACACAAATGCAACAAACTAAGCATTCAGTAACAGGAGTTTTTTGTTCTAATCTTGACCCTCATTTAAAATGTTTTTTGGTTATGGATGGATTTGTTCTGCAATAGTTTCCATCTATAACTAGTTAAAAATTAAAGATTCCAATGACACATACTGCATGTGCTATCCAATGTTTAGAAATGCCATGTTTGAGTTTAAACCTGTCTCTCTTGAGCACTAAAATCCCCTTTTACACAGAAAAGTTTTTTCTCGCACAAAGGGCAAAGGCTCTGCTTAGAAATTCTATTGACATGTACCAGTAAATAGAAGAAGATAAAGGAAAAGATCAGTTTCCTTATCTTTAGAAGTTCCTCTTTGAACTATTTACACTTAATTTTCTCAGCAACAGTTTGGTGCAGTAAGTATTCTCCTACAGTGTAAGTATAACATCCATTGTAAGAGGAGGACATTTTGGAGTTTGAATAATAGCATTTGTAGGTTAGAAAAATCCACTTTCTAACCCAGATTAAATATGCCAACAAAACAACCTCTTGCTCTCTAAGAAAAACAAATTAACTGTGTTTGCTCCAATCAGTCAAGAAAAAAATATTCAATTTTCCACCTGGAAAATATTTCTTCCATAACTAAAACTGATTCAAAATTTCTCTTTCAAAATATTATCATCGGCAACAGGGGTGTAATTAAAAAATGGCTTATCTTTATGGTGATGTCCAAGTTACATTCATCAAATTAAATATGATAAGCATTTGCCAATAAACAACTTCCAAAGAGCATAAAAGGATAGTTCTTACCTTGTAGAATTTTCAGGATATAGTTCATAATCTTTTGTACTATTCTCACAGAAGTATTTCTAGGAAACATCTATGGCTTTTTCTAGGAGGAGAGTAGTTAGAGAAATGCAATCATTTCAAGGAAACTTTATAAAATGACGTTGGGTTCATATTTTATTGTAGTAACATTTTGTAATAATAAAAGATTATAATAATAAGATTATTATCCGTTGTCGCTCGGAAAGTTTTTCCGCAAAAGTTCTTACCGGCTCAACCACAACCGTTTGCATTAATTTTTAGCTCTCTGTTGGTCGATTTTGGTCAACCGTACGTTTCTCGGTTTAAGCTATCCGTTTTAGGACTTTGGTCAACCGTTTAATGTTTCGAGCCACCCGTTTTTAATTTTGGTCAACCGTTTAACAGTGTTAGCTGTCCGTTTTTGGACTTTGGTAAACCGTTTAACGTTTCGTGCTATCCGTTTTTATTTTTGGTCAACCGTTTTAGGGCCTAAGCTATCCGTTTTTGGACTTTGGTCAACCGTTTAAATTTTTTGCCATCCGTTTAAGCGGTCATGGAAACCGTTTAAACGCTTGAGCTAGCCGTTTAGTATCCGTTTAAACCGTTTCTCTAGACCGTTTAACGGCAAAGCGTTAGTGTCCGTTTTCCCATGGAGGGTCACAAATGATATCCAATGAGTTTTGTGAATGATGAAGAAAGTAAATTTTTAATTTTGAGTTACAACAGTTTTCAATGAGTTGTTTTGAATGTTTGACCTGAAAATATTTACGAAATCTAGGAAATTATCTGTTGTAGGAATTTGTTTCCTTTGGAAATAACCTTTTAAGGTTCACTAGCTCTTTAATAACAGTTGCTCAATTCATTTACATGTACATGCAGCTATATGATTGGTTTTTTTTTTGTTGTTGTTTTTTATATGAGTTGAACATTACCTATTTTTTCACAGATGAAATTTCACTTTCATTGATATATTTTATATTGAATGTATCCATGGACTAATACAAGTTCTTTCAAGTAACTTTTGGAATACCAAACTAATTTTCATTTCTTCTTTTTCTCTAAGAACAACAAAACTTTATTATTACAAAATGTTACTACAATAAAATATGAACCCAACGTCATTTCATAAAGTTTCCTTGAAATGATTGCATTTCTCTAACTACTCTCCTCCTAGAAAAAGCCATAGATGTTTCCTAGAAATACTTCTGTGAGAATAGTACAAAAGATTATGAACTATATCCTGAAAATTCTACAAGGCAATAACTATCCTTTTATGCTCTTTGGAAGTTGTTTATTGGCAAATGCTTATCATATTTAATTTGATGAATGTAACTTGGACATCACCATAAAGATAAGCCATTTTTTAATTACACCCCTGTTGCCGAT